TACATTGAAAAATTGAGCATGTAAAAGCTATAATATTTTTATTATTACTAGTAGGTGTGCATATGCTTTGTATGTAACATTTTTTTTGATGATGATGTTGATGGTAAATAATGTTTTTAAAAATTTTTAATATTTTTATATTTATAAAAAATAATTTTTATTTGGCATACTTCTTTTTGTTTAAGGTACGATATTAGAGCTGTCCAAATATTTTCTATATTTTTTATATTTTTGTGTGTTTTCATCTTTTTTATTTTTTTATTATTATTTAATTATGATACCAAAGGCCGACACATTTAATCCAAAAGGTTGAATTGTTGACTTGCCATTAAACAAGAAAACAATTTCATTTTTTTGTTGGTTTTAAAATTGTATTTTATTTTTGTCATCCATGAAAACAGTTATTATTTGTCATACTTGTTTTTATTTAATATTGTTAATTAATGTACAATTCAATGAAAGAACTGAATTAATACCCTAAATATAAGATTTAATGAGAGAGAATTGAATGAGTAAAAATGTAGTAGTTTGTGCTTTCACAATTAAAGTGACCAAATTCAAAGATCGAATATTCTAATCAACAATATGATTCAATGAATGTTAGTGGAATGAATAACTTAAATATAAGACTTAATGAATGAAATTTTATTGAGGATAAAAAGTAATTGTTGAAATTACATTTCTGTCCTTACAATAAGAGATGAATCAAATTCAAAAATTATGATGCTTTAGTCAAACAAAAGTCACTAGATATAAATACTGATACATGTACTTGGGGTATTTCTGTCCTTAAAATTGGAGTATTTTAGGCTGCATTTGACATTTCTTATTTTAAGGAAATATCTCCTCTTTTTTTTCTATTAAAGGATATAAGTCCTGAAAATAAGGAATGCCAAATGCAGTATCTAGATACATGTACTTAGTTTGGTCTAATATTTCAGGTTAGTAATTATTAGGAGCTTTTTATGATTTAAACCCATAGAAAACCTCAAACCCCTTATCAAGGATCAAAATTTTGTTACACTCGGTATCATAGGGCCATAATTATCTATATAAGGGGCTTTTGGGGGTTTGACCACTTTCAAGGGGTTGGCAGGCCTAATTAGATTGTGCCACCTCTCACTAATTTTATGCTTAGATAATATTTAGGGTCTGTTTGGTTTGTGAGAATAAGGGTTTGAAATCGGAATCAGAATTATTTGGTTGGTGGAATTAGAATCCTATTTCTATTTTTGGTGGAATGGCATTCTCCCTTTTGAGGAATGGTCATTTCCTCCCCCCTTCTAATTCCTATCAGAATTAAACAGACTATAAAAATAGAGCATTACAATCCCAATTCCAACTACAAGCCAAACAGAACCTTAGAATTATATCATAGAATGAGGTGGCCATTCTATAGGGTATAGAAACACCTCATCAAGGCATTATATAATAGTATAGGAGCACTCTTCATTCTATAGGGTATAAAAACACCTCTAATTTTTCTTAGCTGATTCATAGTTAATAGTTCATACCAGGAGAATGACCTACATTGAAGGCCAGACCTCCCCACTTTACTGAAGTGAGATTTAATCTAGGTTCAAACTATCAATACATATCATACCATATCGTATGCTGTATATCAATGTTTTATCATGTTATCAATATACCAAATCAAAATAATTTAAAACAACTGTTAATTTTAATAATAATAATAATAATAATAGTCTAATAAACATTTGACCAGCTGCCATGAATTCGTTATCATTCCATTAGAAACATTTTTATGCAAGTAGGGGTCTGCTACCAACATAATGCTCCCAACGCTGTCCTAACATGTCACTGCAGCTGCACATTTGAAATATCACTATACATCTCTTACCCATAAAACGATCCCACATTTATAACCATGGACCTCTACCATGTGTAAACATCTCTTTATGAATGAAAAGGGAGATATTCCCAACACGCAGTTGTTATGTCCTGTGGGCAGGGATGTGGGTAGCAGATCTGAGCCTACGTGTTTAGATCTCCTACTCACACCTACTCATATATAACTTCAGCCATATATCGAGAACATCTCCCTATTTAGACATTACAATTCATGTGGAGATGTTCCTGTTATAAAACTATAACATCGTGTGGATGGGTGTGGATATTAGGATTTCGGATTGGATTCAACAAAATTCGAATATAATCCAATTATTGACAACTTACATCCGAATTCGATTGGAATTGAAGACATTGAATTCAAGAGGACCCAAATCGTATTTGGATTTAATCAGATTCCACTTTATTCTTTTAAAATACAAAAAAAAAAATAATTACTTTTCAACTTTTACATATAATAAATTAATGTAAATATAACATACTGAATTTATTCTATATAAATTCATATATAATATAATATATAAAATATATATTTAATATAATTATATAAATATTATAATATAATTAGATTCAGATTTTAATCAAATTGAATGGAATCAAATTCGAATCCAATCCAATTACATAAATACATGATCTAAATCCAAAATAATCAAATTAGATATCGAATTGAGGTCGAATTTTCAAATATCATCGACAGCCCTACATAAAACTCTATAACCATTAAAAGAAGGAATAGGGTTAGATCGGTTGAACCTGATTGACCCTTCAGATGAGTGGGGATGCTTTCGTGGGTTGTCCTTATCAAAAGCTGAACCGGCCTGCTCAATTGCCACATACATCTCAATTCTCAAATCTCAACAACAAATATGAAACCCATCAAAAGGCATGCTAATGTTACCCTATCTCACTTTTATCTTTTAAATAGGGGAAATGGGTTTAATTTATTCAAATATTATTTTATTGGGCGATTAACCATTTAATGAAAAAATAAATCGCCAACTTAGACCTCTTCTTAAAGACCATAATACTTTAGGGAGTGTTTGGCAACACGTATGATTTTGCTTTTCAAAAAACAAAAGTGAAACAAATTAGAAAGCATGAAAATAAATTTAAACCAAAATTTTCACATAAAACAAGTAAAAACAATATACTCATTATAGAAAAGCAAATACAGTCATAACTATACAACATACATACGTTTGTTTAATACGTGATGTGTAGCTTGAAAATTGCATGTCTGACACATGGTTATTTTACCCGAATGAAATCATTTTTCAACCTATTTTTCTACACTTGTTCACTTGTCTCTGAAATTGCTTCTGTGCCACCTGCTTTTTAAGTTTTTAACTTTATATAATTAATTGATTTTTTTGTCTTAGTGGTTAAGATATTTCTGCCGAAACAGTGTCCGGCTTCAACAATAACCAAACTCTTCCCAGAGTCGTTTGTTTGATTCTTTTAATAATGGTACGGACAAAAATATATTTCACTAATATTATTTATAAAATATTTTACCTTTAAAATTAAATAATTAATAATGTTAGTTGGTAAAATATTACTTGACATTAAAAATAAATGGCTCCTTTGTAGTTGCCTTGGTCTGCTTCTACTTAAATAAATAAATAAAATAATAAATTATTTTCTTCACCTTCTCCTTTTGATCTCATCACCAAATAATGCACTTGATCCAATGGTAAGAGAAAAACCAATGGGACCCATCTAGCGATAAGATCAAACCACCAGGTATCACAACATAACAGGGACCAGAATGTCATTTTGGTAAAAGAATTACCCATAAGCCTAAGCTCATATTTAATTATGTTTAATTAAGACTCCCCCACCCACTTCATTGAAATTGCAGGAACATTAATAAATAAAATAAATTACTAAAGAAGAGAACCCTAAAAGCAAAATTTTAAATTTTTTTAATATAAAAATCCAATTCTTTATTCCTTTTCTTTTGGAATTTTTCGTTATTTGTGAGGTGGCAAGCCTTCTCAATTATTGCAGCTGAAAAATAAAGAGCTTTTTCAGAAAAAGAAATTATTTAAACTATTTATTAAACCATTAAAATATGTCATTTTACTCTTTTGTCACAGAGATGTGTAGCAGCTCGGCCCGTCCGAACACTTATTAATTAATTAAAAACAAAAAAAATGTTTCCTATTATAAGCTATTTTTAAAAATTACATTTTAATAATAATAATCCCATTTCATTCCTTTTAAGGACTGTCTCCGATGGTCGACACGTGGATTCTACACGTGTGGGTGGTCCCACAATGGACGCCACCTGCGGGTGATACGAGAAAGTAGATCTACCGTTCGTTTGCCCGACCATCGTTAAGGGAATCTCGGCCTCGGATCGTCGGATTACGCGGAGATGCGGGTCGGAAACCAACACGTGTCACTCTGTGTGTGCAGGGCGATATCATGAAAAGCTGAGTCACTGAAAACGACAAAAAAAGACTGTACTTGAAAGAAAAAAAATAAAGAGAAAGAAAGAGGGGGAATGATAACCCGAGTCAGCTTTCACCCGAGTTAATTTAACTCGGGTTGGCAACGTGGCACGAGAAAAGGACACAACAAATCATACAATTAACGGTTAACTGACGTTTCGTGGCGCGCAGCGAGACCGAAGAACGGAGAGGCGTTTGACCGTTTATATACTGTTAAGTCCGTCGGTTGGTGGTTCGTAACTTCTGACAGTCGATGAATTAACTCGGCGATCGTAGAAAACACTGCAATCCTCAATCAGGATTCAGGAACCTATTAAGTATTAAGTCATTGTCTACGATGAAATGACAAGAAAAGCCTTCAACGATAGAACATATTGTCACAAGAGATGAGGGCAATTCGGTCATTATACATCCTATGCTTCTACGTCAATGCTTTTCAAATTCGCGAGTGGTTTGAGTGAGTGGGCCCGATCCATCAGCGAGTTAACTCATTAACACAACCAGGTGAACCGGGGTTAATAGCTTTCTCTTTTTCTGCTGACTCTTCCAAAGAGGAAAACATTTTCTTATAAGCAATCAAATGAAGAATAATACACCTACCAAAAAAAAATGAAGAATAATACGTATTTGGTGGCAGATACTCGTAAAGTATACGTATTTCTTGTCAATCATGGGCTGTGTGTGAGAGAGATTATATCAGAAGCCTCACTGCTTCGCTGATTTTGATGCATGGAAGGGAAGATACAACTGAAGAGCGAGAAAAAAAAAAGAGAGAAAAGAGCAGAGAGAGAGAGAGAGAGAAGGGAAAGAGGAGTACTGCACAAGTTTCATACCTTTGTCAAACATATATTTTACTGCTTCTGGGGACTCCTCAAACTCATCTGTGAAGTTCTCAGGGGAAAGAACCAGGTGGGTTTTCCATATTCTTTCATGATCCTCTGTTGCATTCCTTGTTCCGGCGATTGTTGAGGCCCATTTTATGGATTATTGGAGGTTGGGGGAATGAAAGATATGGTTAAGCTTTGGCTTTTCTTTTGTTTTTTTATTGGGTCCATCTCGTCGTGCATGGTCTGTAAGATTGTTCGATGCATTCATGGAGTTGCCTTATCTGGGTATCTTCCATTTGATGCTTTGATGGGGGCTTAGTGATGCATTTTTTTTGGAGTTTTTTTTTTTTTTTTCTTACATGGGTTTTCGGAGTCGGAAGCGGGATTATAAGATTTTGTTTTTGTTATTGTCATCTGCATGCATAGAACATGTGGTTCTTTGAGCTTTTCTGCTGTATTGATGGAGTGATTCCTTCTGGTTTTTTGAACTTCTGTATGGAAATTAGATAGAGATGTGGACATGTGCCTCTAATGCATTGGCTTTGATGATCTTGAGTTCCCCTCTGTATTGAGGAAGTACCTTTTCTGTTCCTAATTCTATTTTTGATTCATTACTTTCCGATGTGATTCCGGAGGCATTGTGATGCATCTGTTAATGCTTTCCATTTGGGTCTTTTGGAATTTTCAATTTATGATCACTGCTCATAATTCTTTTTGATACCCATAACAACCCATTCAAACTCCATATCAATATCATCATCCCCCTCCCCCCTCTCTGTGATTTTTACTTTTTGAATGCATGAGTGGGTTGGTTCTCATCTTGGTCTATAAATCTGTTGCAATGTTTCTCATTTCTGCACCTTCTGTAGCTCATGGATGTCATAATCTTTGCTTATGATCCATATATTGATTTTAATTGATATCTAATAAATCGTGTTAATGTACTTTTTCCGTTAGCTTACCTAAATGCTGAGAAAGAGTTTCTACTTTCTTCAAGGGGGGCTGAGGTCTTGAGATAATGCTGAGGAAGAGGAGCAGATCACTTCAGAAAGATCAATCCAAGAGCCATATAATGCCTGATTGTGCTTCGGAGTCAGGTTTTCAATCTGATGTCTCGGGGCAGAAGCATAAAGGCAGCTCTTTTTTCAGTGTTCCCGGTTTGTTTGTAGGGTTTGGGTCCAAGGGTTTATCAGACTCTGAGTCAGCTAGGAGCCCTACATCTCCCCTGGACTATAGGATTTTCTCAGGTCTAGGCAACCCCTTTAGGTCTCCAAGATCATGCTCTGATGGCCCTCAAAAGAGCTGGGATTGCAGCAAAGTGGGTCTCAGCATTGTGGATTCACTCAATGATGAATCCAAGCCATCTGGGAAAGTTCTCCGATCATCAGAGAGTAAGAGTATTCTGTTTGGATCGCAGATGAAGATGAACATCCCTTCTCCCCGTAGGCATTTGGAGGGTTCGGTTGATTCTATTGTGGCACCCAGGTCTCTGCCCAAAAGCTTCGTGCCATTGCCGCATACCCTGATTAAAATACCCCTTATTGAAATCCAATTAGAACCCATGCAGATTGGAAAAGTCCGATCTTGTCTGTCAGATTCCGGCAGATCATCACCACCTTGGGATTTCAGCAGGTCCCCATCACCCTTAACCAACTTAGCAAACGGTAACATCAATTCAAATGTCAAAGATATTTGGGCAGAACAGAAAACCATTCAATCTGGTTCACCTCCCATAATTAGCGGAGTTCCAAATTTAGACAATTCTTTGGGTATGAAACCAAGTTCACTTCCGATATCCATTGGTTCTGGCCATGGGTTTATGGGGTCTCTGTCTGCAAGTGACATAGAGCTTTCTGAGGACTATACCTGTGTAATTTCTCATGGCCCAAATCCTAGAACAACTCACATTTTTGGTGACTGCATTTTAGAATGTCACATTAATGATTTAATCAATTGTAGTAAGAAAGAACAAGGGATTGGATCGCCCCGGGTGGAGAAGCGCTCGGATGGTTCTGTTCCGTACCCTTCGAATGATTTTTTGAGTTTCTGCTACTCTTGCAAGAAGAAATTGGATGAAGGGAAGGACATCTTCATGTACAGGTTAGCCCAAAATCTTCTGTTCGCCTGTTGCATACCATGAGATTCACTATCTGAAAATATTTCATGAGTAAAAGTAAAACGTACTGCATTTGTTATTGAGACTCTGCTGTCTTTCGACTGTTGCAGAGGTGAGAAAGCATTTTGCAGTAGCAGTTGCCGTTCCCAGGAGATTTTGGTTGAAGAGGAAATGGAGAAAAGTAGCAATAATTCCTCTGAAAACTCTCCCGAGTCCACCTGCCCTGAGGAAATTTTCCTAGCCGGCATGGTTGTAGCTACATAATAAAGCACTATAAAGCCACCATTCCATGATTGATGAAATTGTCACAGAGGTAAACACCCCAGATCATCTGTTTAAAAGAGCTGTCTATGTGAATCTGTTATCAGCCATGGATGGTCGTTATGTACATTCTCTGTTTGCTGATTGAGTTTCAGCTTTCATGGTATTGGGTTGGTCATGGGCGGCAGACTGCTAGCTTATTTTTTGTTTGTTTCTTTTCTTTTTTCCTCCAAAATTGGGACATTGTTGCAAGCTTAGACTTCTGATGTCTCATAATTTTGATTAGAAAGGGTAGAAGCTGATGTACTGGCTCCCCGCTTTTTCATTGTTCCTGCTCTCTTTTGGCAACTGTTTATCGATAAGCTTCTTAACTGGATATTGAATATAAGTTACTTTTACATGAAAATGATTCGCAACTTGTTTCAATTACATTCTGTAACTCATGTAGTGTATTCTCCACATGAAGTTTGGACTCCTCTTAAATAAAGCAAAGGTTGATCCTAATCATCCTAATCTTCAGTCAAGTTTCTCATATGACTTGTTAGAATTATCAGACATGACTATTCACAATCTTAACAGAGATCTGAAAGTTATACCCAGGAGCTGTCATGGCCTTCCACAAAAATCACGTTATTCTCAAGGATACTGGAAAACACTTGAATACCTGAGACTGAGAGAGCTCTGTAAATTGCTTCTGCATTTGCCATACATCTCCACGAATGGTATCCCACGCTCTGAACATTCACATGACATGAGCCTCATTTGCAGTCTGCATCTGTCGCAACCAGCTGTTGTTATCCGCCATTTGGTTTTGAGTTTCGAATATCTGGTTTACATACCAACCAACCGAACAGTGGTTCAGGAGACCACCGTTGATCTTTGATTTGCTGTTGACTGGGAGATTGAATGCTTTCTCCATCCACCCAAAGTCCCAAACTTTGTTAGTAATCGACCCGATAGTTAAACAATCTCCCATGATCAAGGGACTACGTTCAATCCTGCACAGACTGAAACCAAGCTTAACCATGGTTACTTCCTCTCATCAGGTCAAACACCGTCATCCTGCATTTTGCCAAAATAGCTTCAAGACTTCCTCTGGCAATCCATGACCGATAAAGAAAAGATATCGTGGCATGTTCCAACTGATAAATCCCATTCTCAGGGTATGTCTCGAACAGATTACTGAATACTGACTAGCCTTCTCGAGGCTCGAGCTATCGATTTCAACACTTTGAGAAAACATTCCCATCAAATCGTTCTTCAGGAATCTACTCTTTGATGGTTCAGAATTTCGAACCCAAACGTCAATTTCGGTTCCCTGCCGATTTGACGCTTCATTAGAACAGGCTTGTATCAAGAAATGGTGGGTGACCCTCCAAAGAGAATCATCTTGAACTTGATTTCAATTAAGGTTGTGTTCCAAGTTGGGTCTCTGGTACGCCTCTCCAACTGAAAACAGTGTGCACGATTTGAGTGGAGGGAGAGAGAGGGAGAGAGAGAGAGTAAATGGGTTGTAGAAGAAGAAAATGCTTGTGCAGTTTGTGGTAGGTCCTCTTGAGAAGAAACCACGGGAAGAGCAACCACTGCCATGCTATCCTTTCATATGTCAGCCTCAAGTTTTATCCATGACTCCATCATCTCTCTGTAACGGCAAGTTTGGGTAAGATTTGAAGTGTATATATATGAAACTACAAGGTTGCCCTGTCTAATTTCTAATCATGGGGACTTCAGAGTTCAGACTACTCCATGATCAAATGACACAAATGAATCTGCACCATTAGCCCACAGTTTGATGGGTCCCACGGGCACGCTCAGTATTAGTATTGGACCTAAAATTTGGCATGACCGGACCATCCAAAACATGCAAATGCATGCCCCTTGGTGTAGACCAGAAGTAGCCAAGTAGGGGTGTCAAGTCGACCGGATTTGACCCGATCCGTCCAATCCAATACGACTCCATTACAAATGGATCAGGTCAAATCCAAAGATGAATAATTTAAACCATTTTGTATTAGTCCGATTCAATGTATGGACTGCCCAATCTGTTCAAACTGGTATTTATTTAGATTGGTTCCACTCCAAATCTGGTTCATATTTTTTATAGATGGACTGGATATTGGTTCAATCCGATCCGATCCGATCCAAATTCACTATGAATGGATCAGTTTCAATCCAATCAAATAAATACTTTAAACCATTAAATTTGGACTGATCCAATTCAATGTTTTATTGGTCTGTTCAATTTGATTTTGGTGGTGTTTGGAAATTGGAATCAATGTCCTTTTCTAAGATGTGTTTTCTCAAAAAATGGTAGTATAATATAAGCATATTGTTTTTCAGGTTTTCTATTTGGTACCATTGCTCCACATAAAGTAGGAGAAAAAAAAAAGAGAAAAATGTCATTTTCTCATACCACACCTTTTCCAATTTCTAAGACGTGGTATGAAATTTTTAAAATAAAAAAAAAAGCGACTAACTGGATGGCATTAACGTGAGGCCATTTTCAAAAGAGATGGCATTGATACCAAATATCGGATTAGTCCAATCCGATGCAACAATTCAGACCATCCAAACCGGTCCAATTGGTTATAATTCGGATCGGATTCAATCCAAACTCGATCCATTAACAGCCCTAGAACCCAATAACGCCATTCCCTTTTACCTCTCAATCCAAATTTGAGAGAGCATCCCAACACGCATTGGCTAAAGTTTGTGGAGATGAATATCTTCCAACGAGGCAACAACCAATTGGCCCAAATGAACAAAAGCGCAGAAACCCTTTTGACGTGGAGTTATATCATCCTGAAATTAAATTAATTAAGAAACCAGAAAGGAATCCAGCTTCATGATAAAATCACGGAAATGACACAAAATGTGTGGCTGAAACTGGGAGTCGTACCTTTTGAAGTGGCAGCACTTTTTCAGTCATTTATCCAACTACCAAAACTGCCCTTTATAAATTTTCAGTGGTAAGTATGTAACTGAGACTGAAGGATCATACTTTACAAAAATTTGGGATACTGAAATTCAGGCCAGTGACTCAAAAGTTTGGGGAGATGAAGATCAGGGCGATGACCCAATAGTTGGCATGGTCAGTCTGGTGGCATAGTTAATGGACCTCACATGCACCCTCCTCTGTCTCCTTTCTGATAGGGTTAATGAACCTCACATGCACCCTACTCTGTCTCCATCCCGAAATTTTACTATCAATTGTAATTTGTTATACTAAAAAAAGGCAGATATGTGCTCCAAAACTATTTGGATAAGCTGCAGCCTGTAGGGGACCTACGGACCACAAAAATCTCTGATTGTTCTGTGCCTTGTTTATGGCTTGAGTAGAGGATAGCCCATTGGTTAGCCTGTTTAGATATCTTTTTGCCCTGCCTGCCCCTCATTTTTGTGATGTTTTTGGCCTCTTTCACAGTTTTACCTTATTCAAATAGCCTCAAATTTTAGGGTTAGGCCACATAAACAGAGTTGCAAATGGATTAGATCGAATCAGATATAGGTAGGGGTGTCAATGGACCGGTTTTGGATTGAATCCCATCCAAACCAAAATCAATTTAGACGGTCCAACAAGACATAGTGAATTTGGTCAGTTCAGACTTAATGGTCCAAAGTATTTATTGAAATGGATTGGATCTGGTCCATCTGTAATGAATTTATATTGGATTGGGTTGGATTGAACTAAAATCTGGTCTATTAATAGAATATAAGAATATAAGTGTCAATAGACCAGGTTTGGGTTAGAATTAATCTAAATCAAAACAGATTTGAACAAATTGAACAGTCTAAACATTGAATTGGACCAATGCAAAATGATCCAAAATATCCATTGGATTGGATTAGACCTGGTCCATTTGTAATGGACTCATATTGGACTAGATCTGATTGGACCAAATCCAGTCCAATTGACACCCCTAGGTATAGGTAGATCCAAATTTGATTTGTTTATACTATAATTCAGATAGGACTTTATCCATTAGATTTATATCATATTAAAATCAATTGGGATTGCAATTGGATAATGAATAAAGTACACTAAAAATGATAAACTATTATATTAATAAAATGATTTTGATATTATATTTCATGAACCAAATGAATTCAAATTTACTTATGTGAAATTTGAACATATGACAATTTTAGTAAAAACATAAACTTCATCTCAACTTTACCGGTAGACTACATGTATATTATATAATGTTAAGTTATATCTTTGCCTTTACTCAAACATGTGCATAGCCCGTGTCCTTACACTACTATGTTTAAACCAAATTAAACCGGATTATATAAGACTAGATAGGTCTGGATCAATGTTTGAAGTAACACATTTTTTTAATTAATTACTAAAATTCTTAAAAATCTATGTAGTGAAATAAATTAATACTTTCCAAATCTATACATTATAATAACAAAAACTCTTTTTAAGGATAATTAAATTAATTGAATTTCTATTAAAACTTACCAGATGGACTTGCCACTTGAGTTTTTCAACAAATGTGTCTAGACAAGTAGATAATGGTGTCCCCCTAATTGTCTTCTTGAATTATAGTTTATGTGGTAAACAAAAGGACTCTCATATTTAGCCATGTCATTTTATCTAAATAGGTTTTCATTCTCTAACGTCTCCTCATGTGAAAGGACTTGAAGCCTGAACAAGCAGGCCCACCTATACCTTGTACTGAAATTTAATTAATTATAACGAGAGTGGCAAGAATTGACATTAAATCACTCATTCAGGCTGAGGGAACCATTGAACATAAAAGCTTAAAACTGTCAGGTGAAGTCCATGAATAGTGAATAAGTTTTTATTCTTTAACAAACCCAACAAAAAAGCATACCATCCATTATTTTGAATTTTAAACAAATGGTGATTGTGAAGTTTTCAATTTCCAATCAATGATGTCATGCCAATCAATGATCTACAACTAATGGTGGCGTATAGTGAAGACTTGGGATCAAATCACATTGCCACAAAGGATTGGGGGATCAAGGGTATTTGTTACATCATCATTCGAGCCCAACTATATAAAGCCAAGCTCAAAGCCTGGCCTGTGAACAGGTCTAATCCCAATTATATGGAGTCACTTACATGAATCCTATTTCACCACTATGTTTCCATTTCACTATTTACTACATATTTCATGATATTACTAAAAGTGAACCATAATTATGAGTTTTTTTGGCACAATTATCCTTTAAAAGCTAGAATAAAATAAATTATTTTTTTATCTTTCTCTTGTGGGTACGAATCATGGCAAATAAATGTGAAGTTTACTCTAGAAAATAATGTTGAAACAATGTAGGTGTCTGGCATCGGTGTAGGGAACATCGCACCGTTTTCTCATAAAAACAGTGCTGGGCATGTGGAGTTGTAAGCAATTTTTTTGTTTGGAACCAGTGCTGCCACATAGGCGTTTTCTGAGAAAACACTGGTTTTGTTTGGTACCAGTGCTAGTAGCAATGTTTTCAACATTGATTTATATTATCCAATGTCCAAGATGATGCCACATTGATGCCATATTATTGCACCGCTACATGTCGTTTTCTCAAAAAACATTGAATTTGGCATTTCTCCATACCACACTTTCCTTATTTCCAAAGTGTGGTTTGGAGCAACATTTTTTTTTTGGAAAAATGGTACCAAACAAGAGGGTGTTGTTTGAAGCACCACTTTCTCTTATGTGGCACCTACATGGCATCATTTTCTTAGAAAACGGCATCGAAGCCAAACATCACCAATGTGTTTGTACATCAGCATTCATAGTTGATTTCAGTTGGAGTATATTAAGGGTTTGGGCTTTCTTTAGAAAGGTTTAGGGCCTATTTGATTCTCGGGAATAGGGGTATGAAATTGGAATCGGAATGGATCATTCCGATTCCAACTCTCTGATTGGGCAAAATCAGAATCCCATTCTCATTATTGCAAGAATGGCATTCTCCCATTTGAGAAAAATGTCATTCCCTCCCTTTCCCTTCAGAAATAAATCCCTTTTCAGCTGAACCAAATAGACCATGGGAATTAAATTCCATTCCATTCAGATTGGTGTCTGAACCAAATAAACCATGGGAATAGACCATTCAAATTCCGATTTTGAGGTATTTTGTTTCCGATTCCCATGGACTGACCCAAACGGACCATTCGGCAGAAATACGCTTGAGGTTAAGTTAATGAGGGAAATGGTTTTGTTGTAATTAATTGAAACAATGGGACCATATGGTTTTCTGGTTTCCATCACCGGTAGACCCACGGTCTCCAACTACAAGTGAATAGATAAAGAAAAAAGCACCCACAGCTCTCAGAGTCTGAAGAGTGTTTCATTAATTCTTTCAAGGCAAAAGCCATGAGCTTCGTGATGGGGAGCTCTTGCTTTCTTCAATCTTTACTTTACCAGTCTCCTACTGCGTCTTCTTCCTATTGTCCATCATCTTCCTCCTTCTCTTCTAACATAAGAAATGCAGACAACAACAAGAATAACAGGAGGAAGAAAGCAGCTGCCGCGGCTTCTATGCGCCAAGAAAATTCAAATGAGGGCATTATCTACAAAAGGAGAGCGATTCTTCTTGTGGGTGTTTCTGCTCTTCCCTTTATTCAATCCAGGGCGGGAGCTGTGGAAAGTTTAGTGAACGGTGAGTTTGAAATCCTTCCAGATTTTGATTTATGGAAGAAATAAAATCTTCCAGATGTTGATGAAATTTTTGCTGTTTCTGATTTTGGTGGGGAGGGAAGGTAATAGGGTCTGGCTTGAATAAGAATCTTAGAGTTGAAATTGATGAATTCGGTGAGTTAGCTACAGAGTTCTGTCTACTGGGTACGTGTTTTCAGAAGAAAACGTATTTGTTTCTTTCATTTTGGATGATTAGTTCTTGATTCCGGTTGCTTTCTTTGCTTGTACCAAATCCTATCTCTTAGAGGGAGGAGTCTTGTGGTGGTGGTGGTAGGGGGTAGCTGATATATACGAGTTTTATCTTGAAACTTTCTTTTTCTTTTTCTTGAAGTCGGTGAATTATAGTTGGATTGATGATATTGTTATGTTCTGAATTAAGTGCTGAATTTAAAATTGGAATGTTATCGGATAATAAACAAAATCTGGTATCACCAAAGTTGATTTTGTCGTTACTTGATTTTGCTTGGATTTAGCAGAGACATTGTAACTGGTAATTGTTTAATACATAAAGCTCCCTAGAAAGTAGAAACTATTTGTTTGCTTGCCCAAGCAGAATTGGTTTTAAGAAGTTGGAATTTCATTCAGGAAGCAGTGAGTAGATGTGCAAATGAAGTGGAGTTACTTGGTATTGTCCAACTAGATTTACTGAAATTTGGTATTTGTCTTGGGAAGCAAAACCACAGAAGCATGAAGGATACTGATGTTATAGAAATTAACATTATTGATTGTACTTCATGAGTTTTCCGTCAGGTGCATTATTACTCTGGTGTTCATGGTAGTGGGAATTGTTATTTAGCGCACCACTACTTTTCCGATAGAATGCATTCATTATGGATGTCGGTAAAGTAAGAAAGATAGGATTTGATTGATTAAGAGATTTGAATAAATTTAGGAAGGACTAGATTTGAATAATTTTAGGAAAGTCATATCCTAGGATTAAGGGAAAGATTCAGTCAATCCCTGATTGCGAGAGATTCTAGGGGTCTGCCTTTCCTATCTTTTCTTATTTAAGTTGTATACTCAACATGTTTTATTATCAATAAAGAAAATTCTCTTCTCTCTCCCTCTATATTTCGCCACAATGGAAGTTCAGACCTGAGATCCCTAGATGAACAACAATGCAAGTTTCTAACGTTTTGCATTGCAATATACTGTCCATTTTTTTTCTATTTGGCGAAACTTTTCCTGGCCCAGAGTAGCGATTTGATAGAGTATCCTTGATAGGAACTTATGCTCATCCATGCCTTAGTCATATTAGTTAGAAAAGATCGAAAACTGAAATCCATTCCCGAGTACCTCCAGCATTATTCAGAAAGGTTCCTGATGAATTTGCTTCTTTAGTTTCTTTTTCATTGAATGGACTAATCTATAATCCTTGCTATCGTTAAGTTTTGGATTCTATTGTCAATTGTCATCCCTTCTTTTTAATTTTTATCAGGAGAGAAAATTGCAGAAAAGCCAGAAGGGGGAAGTCCTCAAGAACCAGGGAATCTTCTTAATGAGGTCTGAATATCAGGCTATCCTTTTTTGTTTCATGAGTAAATGAATTTTATGCTGAATGTTAGTTCAACCTGAAACTGACAATTGGATAGCTTTTCTATTCAGAAATTAGATGAAAGGGAAGCCCAATCAAATCCTTTCTTGGCTTTATTGAATGCAGTTGGGATTATTGGCTCTGGTATTCTTGGTGCATTATATGCATTGGCACAGAAGGAAAAGTCAGAGACTGAAGCAACAATTGAATCTGTATAGCATCTTATACTTTCATAATCGGCTTGTTATATATTTTCTGTTTCAATTGTTATACTTGTAAGTTATACCAATTTTTTAGTGTTGAACTGTTGATTTTTTTGAACAGTGGTGGAGGGTAGTTTTAACATTCTGGTAGGTTTTGTTTATATTTGTACACTCTTTGCTATTGCAGATGAAGAACAAACTGAATAAAAAGGAAGCTGCCATGACTTCTTTGGAAAGGAACATGGAAAGAATGCTACTGAAAGAACAGGAAGAAAGAAAAAAACAAATCCGAAAGGCAAAAGAAGAACAGCAGTCTTTGTTTAACCAACTTACTTCTGCAAACACCACAATAACGAGCTTACGACAAGAGGTACAAAGTGAGAAAATGTTAATTGAAAAGCTTAATGCTCAAATAGATGGATTGCAAAGTGACCTCACAAAGGCTGGGAATGATAAAAATGCGCTTGAAGCCAACCTGAATGAGAAGCTTCAAACTATTGAAGTTTTACAAGACAAAATAAACTTGCTCAGTATAGAACTCAAGGATAAGGAAGACAAAATTCAAAACCTCAGCTCCACACTTGCTGAGAAGATCTCAGAGTGTAATAACTTGGATGTTATCTCCAAGCAAGCAAAGGCTGATTTGGCAGAAGCAAACTCAAAAATCACAGGGTTGAAAGAAGAAGTTCTCAGAACTCAAGAGGAACTAAATTTGAAGAATTCTGTAATAGAAGATCTGAATGCCAGAATAAGTTTATTAGTTGTTGAAAGAGTTGATACTAACAAAAGACTTGATGCACTTCATGAAGACTATAATGACTTGAAGTTATCTTACGAAAAGAAAGCTGCATCAGATGCTGAATTTTTGGCAAAAAGAGAGCATGAACTTCATCAGCTTGAAGAAAAGCTCGGTCTTTCTTTGGATGAAGCAAACAGAAATCAGGAATTAATTGGTTGTTTGACTCAAGAAAGAGATGATTTGAGAAAGATGCTGGAAATAGAAGTGAACAATGTGAAGAACCTGAGACATGAGCTCCAGACCACACAGGAAACTCTTGGAGCATTAAAGATTGAAACTTCTGATCTCTTGAAGCAATTACAACAATCAAAAGATTTATGTGGAGAACTTAAGTCTGAGGTCTCCAGACTTCAGGCAGAGCTCACTGATGTGCACAAGTTGTCAAAAAGTAGCCTGGACGAGGCAAGGTTGAATTCGGAATTACTGTCAGGTGAGCTCACATCAGTCAAGGAAGTTTTGGAAAAAACCAAACAAGAGCTCCAAAGTGTGTCAAATGAATTGGCTGCTGCAACAGAAGTTCGCGAGAACTTGAAGAAGGAACTGATTGGTATATATAAGAAAGCAGAAACTGCAACCCATGATTTGAAGGAAGAAAAGAAAATAGTTGCTTCTTTGAAAAAAGAGCTGGATGCTTCAGAGAAACAAATCTTGAAGGATAAGGAAGAAAGAAAAACTCTCGAGAGAGACTTGGAAAAGGCCACTAAATCACTTGATGAGATGAATAAAAATGCATTGTTGCTTTCAAGAGAACTAGAAAGAGCTAATTCTAGAATTTCTGATCTTGAAGAGGAAAAAGATATTATTTACAAGTCTATTGCTGAACAAAAAAGTGTATCAAAAGAAGCTCGGGAAAATTTGGAAGATGCTCATAACCTGATATCAAAACTCAGGAAAGAGAAGGAGAATTTGGAGAAGAGAGCAAAGAAGCTCGAAGAGGATCTTGCTTCTGCAAAGGGTGAGATATTGCGCCTGAGGAACCAGATCAACTCATCAAAAAGTACTGCAAATGATCATCCTGAGAAAAAGAGTATGGATGAGTCTGAAGCTGTTGTAGCTCTGAAGAAGAGTGGTAGGAGGAGAAGGGGTGGATCCTAGTTAGGTGCTTCCGGATGAGATGGACATTCCAATATTTTTCCTTTTTGTGTCATATACAGTATTGTTTGGGGTCCCATCTTGAGTTCTCATCCATTCTGCTTTTGCATTTTTTTCTGCATATTGTTAACCATATAATACAAAACTGAACCATGCAAATAGAAGAAAACATTGATGCCTGCAAGAGTTCTTGGTACAAACTTGATCAATGTATGCTTGTGTGTCTAACTGTACTGTATATTTTGCCATTGAGGAATATATTTTAGCATTTACAGATTTCTCTGTCCGAATGTTGTTTTTTTCTTCAATTTTGAAGAGATGGCATGTGATTCATTGTTAAGACTAGCTTCATTAGATTGTGAAGAAAAGAGTCTGGTTTAACCCAGGTAAATTGCACATTTGCTTTTTCGTCTCCCTCTGCATTTCTTACTTGTCTGTGTGTGTGTAAGAGAGAGAGTGATGGCTGGGAATTTGCAGAGATTAGTTTTCAAGATAATCAGTTTATAAAGCTTGTACAAGGAAAGATGCTGCACATGACCAAGTGAAAGAATTGGATAGAGTAAGCATATGTTGAACTAAGCAGTGTGCAACAATATTACAGATTCGAGGTACAAACTTCAGAGAGCAGTGGGAGATTGAATTCAATATCACCCTGCAATCGACCAAGTGAAAGGAAAGATTGGTGACCACCTTGAAGGCAAGCAAGACGACTTCATTTGATTGTAGTTTTTCTTGATCTTTTAAAGGCAGAGCTGTCAATGGACCGAATATTGGTCCAATCTGATCTGGTCTGGTATGAGTCCATTACAGATGGACCAGGTCTAATCCAATCCAATAAATATTTTGGAGCATTCTGGATTGGTCCAATTCAATGTCTGAGCCATCCAAACTGGTTCAAATTGGTTTTAATTTACAATGGATCTAATCCAAACCTGGTCGTACTCTTATCTTATGTCAATGGGCCAGATATTAGTTAAATCCAACTCAGCCCAATATAAATCTATTACAATTATAGGTCAGGTCCAATTCAAGTAAATACTTTGGACCATTAAGTCTGACTGGTCCAATTCAATATATCTTATTGGTTTGTCCAATCCGTTCAAGGGGAACCACCATCTTATGGAAATGGTTAATTATCGTAAGTACTGAAAAATTAAAGTAGAAAAGTGCAGGTTGGGTGTGGGAAGAGTACAAATAAAAATATATACAGTGCAAATACTAGGTGTAGAAACACAATATACAAGGTTTTGTGTTATACATATTTGTATTTATACTCCTCCCAAACTGAGCCTTATGGATGTCCAAAGCTTAATATCATTAAGCAGTGGTTTTTTGAAATATGCTGAGAGCTAAGAAATAGGGAAAATGGATACTAAGAAAATGGATGTCCAAAGCATTTCACCTGGACCCAAAGGTTCAAAGTATCCATTTTCCCTTATTCTTAGCTTACAGCCTAATTCTTAACTTTGAACATCCACATACTCCTTAGGCTCCGTTTGGGACAAATATGTATAATGCAAAACATTGCATATTAAATTTCTAAAATGGCATACGGGTTAAATCATTAACGTTTATTGTCATCCCAATGAACCTATCTTGGTGATTTTGTTTGATGGGAAAATCATAGTCCAACCCTTGTTGGGTAGAGAAAACTCAGAAAAGCCCTGGGATCAAGATGGATTAGTAATCGGAGTTGGAGATGTTGAAGTGGAACATGGTAAAAATAAGGGAAAGGAGGAAAATTTTCTGAAAACATTAAAACAAATCGACCACAGTGGGAGTCGAACCCACGACCTTTTGATCCGAAGTCAAACGCGCTAATCCACTGCGCTATGCGGTCATGTTGCTTTTCTTTTTCTTTCTACTTTTATAAGAATGGAGGTTTTCTTTTTTTTTTTTTTTCCAACAAGGCTCCAAGCCATGGAACTTCTTTTTTCTTTTTGTAGGAAAAAAAAAAAACATGAAACTGTGTTTCTTGATTGAACGCCCAGGACCCAGGTGTCATTATTGACTTGGAAGAATATGACAACACTCTCTCCCCTAATCCCCTTTTAAGCATTTTCTTTAAAGCTCCACTAGTCTCGATCGAAATTTATTAAAAAAAGGAACTTTATGACATTTCCAATTAAGTAATGGCCATCTAAATCCAATTCAATCATTAGTTTTTAGGATTATTGTATATGCATGGTATTGATGATTTACATTTATGACAGAACATCAAATTTCACATTACAGGTGAAAAATAATAATTTATATTAACCAATTCAGTGGTTTGTGATTAAAAAAATATATATATTTTCAGGAATTTGTATTGACCAGCCCAACACATTGTAAATAGAAATGGCAATGATATGAAGTAACATGTTAGTAATGAGATCAAATCAGCCCCCCATGACGTTCCATAGTACATTTCTGCCGTGTATTGAAAACATCTCCAATAATAATGTCGTCATCGGGAGATGTTAGCAAAGATGTGTTGTGGAACATTGTGGGGGATAATCTTGTGGGGGGCTGATTTGAACTCATTAGTAATACTCTTAGGCCTCATTCCTTTGTTGAAAATTTGTTTACCCATGTAAATGCATTTAATTGTCTTCTTTCATAAAAAAAATAATATTAGTCGGGTAAATGAAGCAATTTATCAATTTAACCCTAACTTCTGTTCTGTGTATTAATAGGAGCATTGTAAATTTTAATCAATAATTTGGACAATTCTCCTCCATAAATAAATGATTTATCTAATAAAACTTACTTGAAAAAACAGCCCATAAATATATCAAGGAAAAATTCACCCCTAATTTACCCACAAACAAACAAACCCCTAGAGATGAGTATAACAAGGCAGCTCATCCGAGGGTGGATTCAGTCCTCATAAAATTATGCTCACACCATTCTCACAGCCTTTTTCAACCCTACATTAGAAACATTTTCATACATGAGGGGGAAACATTCCCAATACAGGCTGAAAAAAAATACTGTGAGATCGGTGTGAGCACCAAATCCGATTTCAGCTCATCCATGACTTGCATAGGGCCATAAGCCCGGGTTCACTTCGGCTGTTGGGGCCCAACAGCATAGGTTGTTTTGTCTGTTGAAACAGTTTCTGGGCCATAAGCCCGGGTTCCCAAGCTGATGCTTGCAAACAAGTTTAGTCTTCCGAATGCCTCTTGCCCAAAATCCGAAAATCACGGACGAATTTTCTCCACGCCGCCTTGTAAGCCAAACGCCAAAGGTTTAAGACAGTTGGGATCAGTAGGCACAACCTTATAAGCACGTTAAATGAACACTTAAAAATGTTTCCCTTAAAATACCTCAGCCTACCTTGAAAAAGATCAATACCCACTTTTTGACAATTTTCTAAGTATTTATCCAGTGGTCATTTAAAGTGCTTATTTTATTGAGCTTACTAGATCCCGCCCCGGTTTAAGAGAGCACCTGCTCTCGCTCTCAGCTGTTTACACGCAACAGAATAGAGAGAGATGACAACAAATTGAAAAGAAACGGGGCGCAAGTGAATTAGCACCACCTGTGAAAGCGGTGGATTTAAACAATCCCAGTTCAACAACAAAATATATCACAAACTCGAAAGCAAAAGACAACGAGCACGGAATGTTACAATGACGCCAACTAGTAGCAAATATAAGCTGCAACTTTTTCATTGCCTTTTGAAATTTGCATGATTGCATCGACGGCTTGATGCAAAGGAAGTGAATAGATAAGCGCAAATCCAGATCCATTCTATCTTGAGAACGAGGATGCGGTTGATGTTTCACCTCTTGTCTGCCGAGTATTGTAGGATTTACAATTCAGACATTTCTGAGCCACAACATGGAATTGGACTTGGGAGGTTACTCCACAGTCATTGCAGAGGATCCACACCTGTTGGAAGCATTGCATAGTCGTCATTGGGAACATTGAAAATTAAAAGGAGAGAGAGAGAGAGAGAGAGAGACCTTCTTGTTGTTATAAGATTCAGGCATGGGTATTGCGGCAATCTCAACATCAAGCATTTCCCATACTTTGGACATATCACACACGGATTTAGAGCAAAGAGGGCAGGCATATCTGCGCATTTAATGAAGTTAGTATTTCCATTGAAGATCTTGGACATGGGACAAAGAACAAGCAGAAAATGAATCGGAACACTCACTGCAGGTGCTCTTGCATCTCCTTTAAGCAGTTCTTGTGAATAGTGTGTCCACAAGGCAAGACAGATACATCATTTCGAGACTCAAAAAGATACTACAAATTACCAGTATGTCATGTTGTTAGTAAGCATCCGGATATGAGATTCGAAACCCCCTCATAGAACAGTAAAGAACATGAACAGAAAATTATGTAGGGAATATCTCACCTCAAAACAAACCGGACAATCATGATGCATAGCACCTTCCACACAAGGATGACTATTCTTCAGCAGAATTGAGTAACAGCAACCTTTATCCAAGAACAATATAGAAATCACTCATCATTTAAGTGGTCATTCATGTCCATATAACTAGTATTTAACAAGATACAATGATGACTAGAAAACACATGACCATCAGACATGTTGAACTCACCGCATGTATAGCAATGAAAGAATTTCTCACGCCCACCAATCCTGCAAGCAAGCATAGATTAAAACATCTCCATGAAAAACAAAAACAAAATATAAATTTCTCAAACAAATAGCTGAAAACAAAGACTCTTAAATGTTGGAGGATCATACCTGCAAATTCCACAGCCATTGCAATGATACTGTTCCTTTGATGTCTGCAATTGGCAACACAGGTAAGATTATCACACATCCTGGTACCAGAGGTCCAGAGGAATTAGGAACTTTTAAGGTTTAGAAACTTACATCATCATCATACAATTTACAAGTCTCACAGAAATACTTCCCCATGCACACACCACAGTTTATACAAACTTGCCGGACCTGCCGACCAAAGTAAAAAAGTCCACAGAAATGTAAGATACTGACACATATATAAACTCCATTTCCTAAGATCCTGAACACAGATACAGCTATAGGTACCCCATTAGTGTGCCAATATCATGCTTCTATATCTAATTTTTTAAGCGAAGTTTTATTTTTAATTATTTTATCAATATCAAGGTTTTATTTCTCAATATGTATTTGTCACATAAGTTAATTAGACTTCTAACAAATATAAAATTTCTATGGTATAATTTGTTTAAACAAAACATTTTACATGTTTTAGTGTTAATGCTATACCATGCACTATCTAGTGTCACATTAGGTATATCTCATGTCTGATACCACTAGCTAGGCAATGTAAGGTTTTAGGGTAATAGTAGGTATATAACACTATAGAGAAGCTGCACAGCAAAGCTAGGGAAAAAGGAGCCCTTGGGCTGTGTTTGGATTGCATGGTACTAGTGGAAAAGCAGCATGGATTCCAGAGTTACAATTGATAAAACAACAAACCCCCTGGGTCATTGATTCAATGAAAAATACAGATAAAAATCCCCCCCCTGCTCCCTCTTTCCTTTGACTCATTTTTTCAGAACTAAACGGTTGGAGCCAGATATCATGAACTCTTTTCCACTGCTCATTTCCACTTCCACCCTAATCTAAACACAGCCTTAACAAAATATTGTTACACAAAGAAAGTAAATAAGGAAAAAAATCATAGATGTTTACTTACTTAAATACCATAACATTTACCTCTTGCTCTGTGCCACATAGTGAGCATATCACCTGAAAAAGAGAGGTAACTAATTAAATTCAAGTATTTCACAAAGGTTGAAAACTCAGACTGCTAGCAGGAGGGAAAGGGAACATGATGTTACAGAATATACCTGTTGCACTTCATGGCGTGGAAGGTCATGTCTCAGCTTCCTTTCCACATCAATATTGTTCTGTACAAAATACACATTGGCAACAGTGTGAATTTGATAAGATTTGCAACCAAGAGATACAGTAGTAACATTTTCAACCAAAGATGAGAAACCAAAAAACAAAGAAACTTAAATCCAATCAACCTAGAAACACTACTGCTGTATTGGATCAAAGTTATAATGAATGTACACTATCCTAAAGGCTGAGAAAACTTAATAACTGAAGACCCAGTGCACTCCAAAATGGCAAAATCTAAGGTTCAGTTTGGTAAGAGTGCAAATACAAATATGTTCAGTACAAAACCTTGTATACGGACTTAATATTTGATGGTGTAAATACTACTAAATGATCTAGTTTTACACTGCACATATTTGTATTTGCACTCTTCCCAAACTGAGCCTAAAAGTAAAGAAACCTCATGCTATCCGGCTATCCCTGCCTAAAGTTTTGTTTTCCAATACTGCTTGGAATAAAGAACCAAGGAAAAAAAGTTGCCTAAAATTTCCCCTGCTTAACTGATATCCAAAGTGATTGACCAACTTAGGGATTTGAGACTGATTATGAAAATGGAAGAACAAAAGTGGAATGTTTGAGCTCAGTTTTGATGGTAAACCAGACATTCAGACTGTCTTTGGTTTGAAAGAGAAAGAAGGGGAAGGAAGGAAAACCTCTTCCTTAAGGCTGTGTTTGGCTTGAAAGAAAAAGTAGGGAAATCCTTTCAAACCAAACACAGCCTAATTGACTTAATTTCCCTTTCTTTCAAACCAAACATAGCCTTAAGGTGTGGGAGGTGATAGAGAGCACCAAGGGGACATAATAGAGATAATCTTCTTTTTCCAAATAGCATACCAATCTTACATACTCTGACAAGGGATAGAATAATCAGCTTCTAGAGGGACCTTGCCTAGAAATAAAATAAAAGATGATTGTGATCATCTGTTACTAGTATTGGTGGTACTAGAATGCATTCAGCAAGTGTAATAAAACTAATGAACAAAAGAAGGAACTACAGTGTGAAGAACATAATGACATATAGAACATAAATTGGATATATCAATGTCTTGAAGGACATGCACAAGAAAACTACAACCCTGCAGATAGATTGATTCAATTTTTGCAAGACAAACAAGTGGGATCAAGGTTGACCTTGAAAATGCATCCTTAGGCCTGTTGCCCGTATTCAAGAAGATACTTAAATTGCACTTGGGCTTCGAGTTTTTCAAATCAAGTTGTTTAAAGAACACAAAAGACAAGCTTGATATAAGTTTCAAGAACTCTTATTTAATGGGTGTGCATGAGAATAAGTTGATCTATTTTATACTTATGATTTTATATTTCATCATGAGATCACCAGTTATGGTCTTACAGTGATCAATTTTCAGAGTATTTCCAAAAAATTGTATTTGCATATGTACTCTCATCACTTCAATTTTTATCACAAAACATGTTAAATCAATGACAGCATACTTCATTAATAACACCATGTGCGTATAGGAACAACAACTCCTCCGTAAAAACAAAAAACACACATGCTTCAGTCGTGTAAAATGAGAACCTTCGTGTAAAATGAGAACCCCCACCCCCAAAAATTCTATTCAGAAATAATAACACGAGAATATACAAGACACAAACAAATACTTGAAAGATTCTTTTAATCCTTTTAATAGAGAAGCCTCACCCACCTTTGCTTCATTATGGCAATGGCGACAATCAAATATCTCATTGCAGCACTGTGCTCTAATGCGGCATCTTCGCCAATAATGGGAACATCTACAAAAATGAAAAGTTGGGAATTAACCAAGAAAAATCAAATTCACATGTATTAACAACAAAAACAACTGACAACAAAATCAAATTCACTTGTATTAACAACAAAAACAACT